AAGGCAAAAACATAATACTGGTTACTTGAATGTCCACCTGCCATTGCATCAAACACCTCTGAGCGTATTCCTTTGCTCCTCTCTCCCAGCCAGAGCCACCAATCTGCCCCAGTCACTTAATTCAGAGGTCTGAGGGTCAGCCTAAATGCTTCCTTCTCCTTTATCTTGCTACATATATGACCAGCCACCAATTCCTATTGGTTCATATCTTCTAAGTATTCCTCACCTCCATTCTCTACTCTCCATTTGCCCTGCCTCTTCCCTAGTTCAGGCCATCATCTACGGAGATGAGCAGGACTATCTAACAAAGAACCCTAGGAGCTCTTTAAGGGCCCCCTGACCTATGCCCAGCAAGAGGGCTGCACCTGAATTCAGCTTCCCACAGGTCCCATGGTTTCCTCTTCCATGAAGGAGGAGCCACAATTTCCTACAACGCCCAAAGCCTGTCAGTGCTGGGTTTCCAAACAACATTGCAAATATTTGATATTCAAGCTCACACTGCTTTGCACCAAAGCACAGAAAAAAAAAAAAAAAAAAATTTTCCCCCATTGATTTTAGAGAGGAAGGAAGATGGAGAGAGAGATAGAAACATCAATGATGAGAAAGAATCATTGATTGGCTGCCTCCTGCTCACCCCCTACTAGGCATTGAGCCAGGCATGTGCTCTGATTGGGAATCAAACCATGAACTCCTGGTTCATAGGTTGATATTGAACCACTGAGCCACACCAGCTGGGCCCAAAGCATGGACTTTTATTCCTAGTCCTACGGCCACTTCCATACTTACCCCATAAAACAAAAGGGAGCAACAGAGGGGCCTTTGGCTTCTGGGACACCCTGTGCTGGAGTGGAGCCCGGTGCAGCCTGAGGAGCTTGGGTCCCATCGCCCCTCTCTGCAGAGGCTGGCAAACTCTACTGTCTTGAACCTGTCATTTCACACAGCAGCAAGTGATGCCACTGTTTGTCTCTCTCACCCCTCCTCAGTCTATTATCCATACATCTCTCATCATGCTGTTAAAGGTCACACCAGGTCACTCTGTGCTTAAGACATCCCTCTACAGAATAAGGGCCAAATTCCTCAGCGTGATATGCAAAGCCCTGAAAACACACACACACACACACACACACACCCCTGCTCTATCTTCCAACCTTCTTTCCAACAAACACCAGACATCCCGACTTTGCACACTTGCCTTGCCAGGACCAATCGTTTCCACCCTGCTACCTTGAAGCACAAATTAGTACAGAACCCAAATTCTTTCTCCTCTGTGAAACCTTCCTGACTCCCCCTGGGGGACTTGACTCCTGCCCCCTCTTGTCTCACAGAAATACAACTGTGTGATAACCCTCCTGCAGCCTGAGTTCAGTGTCTGGGCTGTGCTGTCTTTGCTGTCCTTTGCCTATCAAGGACTGGCACATAGTAGGCCCCTTGAAAGTTTGTTGAAGAAATAAACAAATATAGAAATAAGTGATCTCCACTCCTAGGTGCATCACCCTGTATATTGCTGATGAGCTTTTTTTGCCTCATGTCCTCAGTGTACTTTTTTTCCCCCCCAACTATATTCAATCTGTTATCATTTACTTTTGGGAAGGTTTCATTGAAGACGAATCTGCAGAGTTATCTAAAGTAACCTTACAACGTGCAGTGTAGAATCCCTTCTGAAAAACTCAGCTGCAGCTCAATTTTAGTCCTCAAATGTATTTTCCTTAAAGTATATCTTAAACAATAATACAAATGCTTATAGGATGCCAAGCACCAAATTATTATTAATGGTAACAGCAATAATAATAATTTCCTTTACACTAATGGATTGAAGTCGAGAAATGGCCAAACCATTTCACATGCAGTCATAATTTTATATTTTTCATCAGAAGAATAATCTATTACCAATGACAAATAACAGTAGAGCCACTAAAACTACCTGTCATGCATCTAATGAAGACAGATTCTCCAGCTGCCACATGCAATATGTAACATTCAAAAGCATGGTTGTAATTCACAGCTAATTAGTGTCTTGCCATTAGGAGAGGTGTCAGAGCCCTCATTCTCTTCTGAGGTCTACGCAGACCTCACAGGAGCCAGACATCAGCCATGCAAGGACCACACAATCCAATTAGCATCCACCCCAACTTTGGGCTGCTGGTTCGGGAATGCCCCCTCCCAGCCTTGGTAAATCATAAGCCTTTTCCTGACAGTTGCAAGCCCTGGCTGCCCAAGGAATAAAGACAATGCTTCTAAGGAAAACTGACATGGGAAAGGCAGACACAGAAAAGACATAGTTGCCTTTCTTTAGCAACACAGCAGTCAGCAACACCGAAGGCCATCAATTCTGACTGATGAAGGAGACCACTGAACTAAGGAATAAATCCTTGAGTGGTCTCTCTGAAAATCCTTAGTGGTAGTCAACAGTCAGCAGTTGGGTTGTTTGTCCGTTTGTTTTACAGTAATGTAGATATCCTGAAGACCTTTTTCTTCTCATTTTTCTTCTGCAACGCCCTCTTCTGGCTAAAAAGAGAATTTCCCTTTGAATAGAACATAATGGTCTGCATTTACTGTGTCCCCCAGTGAATACACAGCAATCAGATAATTTGTTTGAAAGACTCTACATTGTTTGACTTCACTGAAAATGAATCTATAATGATATGCTGGTCTCCAAGTAGGCCCCACAAAGCTTAGTAAATCCATAAGAAAGTGCGGGAGTATTCTCAGCACACAACAGCCAATAGCCTTATAATTTTGTTCTAAGCCTATATGGTTGTTTTGTCCCTTAATACTATACCTAGAGAGTTTTCAGAAGAGTCAGCTATAGCCTGGACATTATTCAAAGACATGATTCAGCTAATCCTACTTTCAGTTTGTTTCCCTCATGGAAATACTACTCTTCTATCTTTTAATGCTAATCTAAAATGTTTACTTTAACTTATGCCTAGATAATGACTACCTAATTTGATATGTATATATTGGCAAAGGCAAATAACAAGCATGGATGCATTTAACATCTACAAGAAATTCTCTTTACAGCTTTTATTATCATTAGACATTGAGATTTCAAAACTGTTTTTCTTTTTCTGAATATAGTATTCCTGTGAAAACCTTTAAATCTTCAAATTTTCTTCTACAAGGATTTCCACTGTGTCATATTTTATAATAGCAAAATAAGTGAAATAATGAAACTGTATAAAATATGAAATATGTTAAATAAATGGAGGCACACCCATACAATGGAAAGTTATATGGCTTCTAAATATACTGATGTAGAAAAATAATAAAGAATATGAAAAATGTTCACAGGATACTGAGAGATAGGAAAAATGAATCCTTGATCCATGTATGTATATATGTGCATCTATATGTATTTGTGTGTGTGTGTAATATGGATCTAAGATTCATTTTTCCTATCTCTCAGTATCCTATGAACATTTTTTTCATGTTCTTTATTATTTTTTTACATCAGTATATTTAGAAGCCACATAACTTTCCATTTTTATGGGTGTGACTCCATTTATTTAACATATTTCAGTATCAAAATTTATATTCAGAAGGTTATATTGTAAATTAATCTTCTTTGAGCTTTTTTGTCTCTATGAAAATGTTTATATTACTTTCATAGACAGAGAAAAAGCTATTATACATAATAAAACACTCATTATGTCACCTGGATATATACAGGAATGGACTGGTGTGGAGGCCCAGCCTAGTCAGGCATCAGCTCTGAGTGGCTAATGCCCATCACCTATCAGTCATCGCAAATTGTATTGCCCTGGGTATAAACAAAATTAGAAAGGTCGGTGTCACATCACACTTGGAAGCATTTCAAGAATGATAATCAGAGCAACATTCTCTAACTGGGTAGTGAGGGTGCTGAATCCATATGATTCTGTAATACCTACTGACTCAATGACAGAATCGATAGAAACCAAAGGACAACACCTGAAAAGCCTGCCTTGGTACCACTGCCCTTAATTCACTTCGGTTCTAATCCATCTGCCCTGATCCTGGGACCATCAGGTATGAGGAAGACAATGGATACCGAACACACACAGTCTGGCTTTTGTTCAGGTCAAGTCAGAGTTCCCAGTACATGGAGCTCAGAACCTGTTTCCATATCAGGCCCTGCAGGCTGTCCCGACACCCAGCTCAGAGAGCCAGGCACACACAGCAAGGCCCATGGACCTTCTGTTTAATTAACACTTGTTTCAGGGCAATAGGGATAGAGGAAAGCAAAATCTCTTCTCCCAAAGGCTTATGTCTAGTTGTTGAAATAAAAGACATGCTTTAAAGGGAATAATAACACAAATGACTGGCAATACAGAGGTCGCAGAAGGGCAAGGAGAAAGTCTCACAGGAGAGACAGACTGGAGCGGTCTTCAAGAAGGCCACTCTGTAGCCTTGGAATATACACCAAGAAGCACAGGTTCTTGAAAGCAGAGACATGCACGCATCTGTCACTCTTAAAGATCACTCCTGGGTCCCCTCTGCTTCTTTCCTAGGGCAGTGTAAGTTAAACATGAACTTGACTCTGAGCTGAAAAACTACCTTTGACAAAATGTTACATGCCATGGAGTTCATTAAATGCATTTGCATTCAGCACTTCCATTCATTTTCCATTTATCAGGCAAAGACAAATGAAATGCAAAAAAAATGTATTATGCCAAGATCAATTTTGACAACAGTGTAGTGTTTGCTTCTTGCTTATTACTTCCCTGGAAGGATAGGATCTTTGATAATGCAAGTGAGAAAACACAGCCAGATCCATGTTTTTTATTTCATATCTAGAGTGCATGTCTTTGAATATGCTTATAGAAGACTTCTAACCATAGATAGAAATTTCATGCTAATTTTTATATTACTCTGGAGTGGCTTAGGACATGTAATTTTGGTACAATTAGGAAGATAAGGAAATAGGCAAATTTGAAATTAACATGTCCATATTTACACAGTAGGTCCATGACTACAGATTCTCAAACCCTTATTTAAATCACACAAAGCAATGCTCATACCTGAAAGGGCGAAACCTCCTTTCTCGCTTTCACTTTCTCTGATTAGAAAGGCACCCGTCTGATTTCCTGAATATAATAGTTGATTTTCTGCATCTGCTCTCTTGATTGCTCCAAAGAACCACCTAAAAAGAGAAAGATGTAAACATCAATTAACCAATCAACATTCATTTTTCAAGGAGCAGGAAACATTACAAGAAAGTATTCTGATACCAAAAATGTTTAATATTCTTTTTTAAATTGATTTTAGAGAGAGAGGAAGAAAAAAAGAGAGAGAAGCATAGACTTATTGTTCCACTTATTTATGCATTCATTGGTTGATTCTGTATGTGCTCTGATAGAGGATTGAAACTACAACCTTGGCACATCCAACTGAGCTACCCAGCCAAGGCTGGTATTCTTTAGGGCAGTAGTTCTCAACTTTTCTAATGCCTCTGATCCTTCAATACAGTTCTTCATGGTGTGGTGACCCCCAACCATAAAATTATTTTCCTTGCTATTTCATAACTGTAATTTTGCTACTGTTATGAATCGTAATGTATATATATGTGTTTTCCAATGGTCTTACGTGACCCTGCTAGCAGTTCTCAACCTGTGGGTCATGACCCACAGGTTAAGAACCACTGCTGTAGAGCCTAAGACCATCGGAAAACACAGATATTTACATTATAATTCATAACAGTAGCAAAATACAGTTATGAAGTAACAATGAAAATAATTTTATGGTTGGGGGTTACCACAACATGAGGAACTGTATTAAAGGGTCGAGGCATTAGGAAGGTTGAGAACTTTAGAGAAACTACAATAGGTATAAATGCTGTTGATATTTTAGGTGATTTTTCAGGATGTCTATAACCTTCACAGAGGAGTTCTTAAAAAAATTACAAAGCAGGAATTTGGTGGCTGCTGGGTCCCACATCCTTCTTACACCTGCATTCTGTCTGACAGGTACTACATCCTTCTGTCAAATCCACAGCCTCTGGGTGAGTCCACTACATAAACCTTCTGCATTTCATTCTCCAAAATGTCTCACATCGCTATCCAACAGTCCTCTGTCTCACCTAACTCCTTCTAAATATTAGGAGGTAAGCATTCCAATCAAACAATTCATATATTTCATTTCAAGGTACGAACAATTAAAAATGTAATTCTCTGGACATTCATTCATTTATTTCCCCAACCCCACCATCATGTGAGACAATTCTGCATGTTTAGGAGGAAGTTATTAACATAAAGGAAACTTTCATCCAAGAGGAAATTATGTAAAAAAGCTACTCTGCCAGGGAAGTATTTTATTAGTGCCACCTCTACTTCTTATCTTTGCCCTCTTATCCTTTAAACAAGCATCCCAGGAATATAAGAGCCAGATACTGAACACACAGGTTTGAGAATGTGATTAACCAACAGCTGATCAACAAGTGATTATGAACTTAATGTCAGAGCCAGTTAGAAATATATATCAAGTCAGTTGGCACCAACGTGGTAATAAGGGGAAGCTGAGAAAGCCCCTTTCACTAATGATTCCTCACCACAAGGTCATAAAGCTGATCTTTATCAGTAAAGATTTTAGGTAAAACATTGATTTTTTTTTTTTCAGGGATCCCTATCTTTAAAAATGTAAACTCTTCAAGAAAGGAAATCCTGGCTGAAGGGAAGAATTGTAGGATGTTCCCCCCAAAAAAATGTTTATATACACTTTGAATAATTATAAAGGCAGTGTTTATTAAAATACATTTCATTTTAAAAGCTGAACTATTAGCTATTAAAGTATGTATACATTTTTTAGGGATACCCTATACAAGCTGGGTGAGGAACTGCAGGCTGAGATACAAGCCATCAAAAATTGGTCCCAATTGGTTTGGCAGGTCATGGGTATTGGGGAATATGTGTGACATAGTTAAAAGGAGGAGGGAGAAAAAATTGAAAACAAAAAGAAGTCTATGGCCATACCACCCTGAATGCACCCAATCTCATCTGATCTCAGAAAACAAAAAATAAACATTAAATATAAATATAACCTTCTAACAAATGCAAGGTATTTATTTACCACTTCCCCAATCATCCAAGTGCCAGTAACATATTATCTGTATCAGTGAGGACATGTGGATTATTTTGGAGTGATAAATAACTCCAAAAATTTCAGTGGGTTAAGGAAATTATTTGTTTTGAACTCAGCTACTTGACCATTGAAGGGCATCTGGCATGCTGCACTATATCCATCTCCAGGTCTACAGCAGCATGTCCACCTCTACACATCCATGATTGCCGAGACAAGATTGAAAATGTGGCAAATCACAGGCTGCTTCCCGGAGGTTCTATTTGAAGCTTCTATGCAGGAATGAACTCCCTGATAAGTAAACCCTATAATCATGTTTCAAAGCATAGAAATAGAAAGTGCAATCCCACTATTTTATGTGTAAGTCAGAGAATGTGAAACTTTTTGTAGGTTACAATAATGACTGTCACCTGTCTGATGGCTATCATCAATAAATCAACAATCGACAAGTGCTGGCAAGGATGTGGAGAAAAGGGAACACTAGTTCACTGCTGTTGGGAATGCAGATTGGTACAGCCACTATGGAAAACAGTATGGAGTTTCCTCAAAAAAATTAAAAATGGAACTGCCATTTCACCCAGCGACCTCACTTCTTGAAATATATCCTAAAAACCCTGAAACAGCCCAAACCTGTTTGGCTCAGTTGATAGAGCGTTGATCAGGTTCTATTCTGGTCAAGGGCATGTATCTTGATTGTGGGCACATCCCCAGTGGAGGGTGTGCAGGAGGCAGCTGATCAATGTTTCTCTCTCATCGATGTTTCTAATTCTCTTTCCCTCTCCCTTCTTCTCTGTAAAAAAAAAAAAAAAAAATATATATATATATATATATATATATATATAATATATTAAAAATAAATAAATAAATAAACAAATAAATAAAACCTCAAAACAACAATCAGAAAGAATATATGTTCATAGCAGCATTATTTACAATAGCCAGGATTTGGAAACAGCCCAAGTGCCCAGCAGTAGATGAAAAAACTCTGGGACATTTACACAATGGAATACTATGCAGCTGTAAGAAAGAGGGATCTCCCACCTTTTGAGACATCGTGGATGGACCTGGAGACTATTATGCTAAATGAAATAAGCCAATCTGAGAAAGGCAGGTATCACATAATATCTCTAATTTGTGGGATCTAATGAACAAAACAAATTGTCCAACAAAATAAATCCTGAAGCACAGAGGCAGGGAACAGAATGACATACCTCGACGTGGGAGAGAGAGGATGAGGAGAAATAAATCAAAGAACTTATATATTTTCTAGAGGCCCGGTGCACAAAATTGCCCACAGTGGGGACTGCTGGCTCCTAACTGATCACCGGCCTGCTTGTCTGATCACCCCTAACGGCCTCTGCCTGCCTGCCTGATTGCCTTTAAACTGCCCTTCCCCTCTCCCCACCAGCCTGATCACCCCTAACTGTTTTTGCCTGTCAGCCTGATCATCACTAACTGCCCGCCCCCCCTGCCAGCCTGGTCACTCTTCGCTGCCCTTCCTGCAGGCCTGGTTGCCCCATGCAGCCTGTTGTTCAGTCATTGCATGAGGGCATCCTGACCAATTTGCATATTACCCTTTTATTAGACACAGACAGTGGATGCTAAAGTCATGGGGTGTGGTATGGGTTGAGTGTAGGGGTGTAAAGGGGGGATGGGAAATGGGAGAATTCTGTAATACTGTCAACAATTTTTTAAAAGTACAGTTTCTATCTGTGCTGGTAATTAGGACTATTTAAGTTATACGAAGTATTTAAACAATGAAATATAGTTTTACACTGTTAAGACTAGACAAATTTTAAAACTCACATTCAGCCGAAACCAGTTTTGCTCAGTAGATAGAGCGTCAGCCTGTGGACTGAAAGGTCCCGGGTTCGATTCTGGTCAAGGGCATGTACCTTGGTTGCGGGCATATCCCCAGTGGGGAGTGTGCAAGAGGCAGCTGATCGATGATTCTATCTCATCGATGTTTCTAACTCTCTATCCCTCTCTCTTCCTCTCTGTAAAAAATAAATAAATAAATAAATAAATAAATAAATAAATAAATAAATTTCACATTCAAAAAATTAAAAACTCTCAATCAGTTACTGGGAAAAAACGTGAAAGAAGAGCCTTAATACCATACCAGAGGCAATATAATTATGCAAAACTAATTCAGAGAGCTAGTTGTCAAAAACCTAGTAAAAGTAAATATTAATACACCACTCAATTTCACTTCTAGTCTGTATACTAAATAAGATACTACTATGTTACAAGAGTATCCACTGAAGAATTATAGTACTAAAAAATTGAAAATGACCTAAATATCTATCATAGAAAAATAGATAAATTTATAGGTACCGTGGAATACTATACATTAGTTAAAAATAAATTGTTGAAAGGCAAAGGAAGTTGAATGATACATCATAATGCCATTTATGTCAAGTTTATGAGACAAAAACACTATATATTTTTATGGATGCATACATGCTTAACAAAAGATAAGTGAATAGTTAAAATAATCAGGCATATTTTTAGACTCCATTTCCAGAAATGGCAAGATTTCTTTACATAAATATTTCAAGCAATAGGGATCAAATATACTGATCAATTATATGCATTTTCTTGATTCAGTATGCATTGAGATATTTGATCAAAATGTAAATATGTAAAACTTTACAAGAATTACTATTTATCTAGCAGATTAAATTCTTAGAAGTATTATTATATCTCACATAGCACATTATTCTCAAGAGTAAATACTCCATTATATAAGTTTTATGTACATACATTACATTTGTATTTTGGATAATCAAGTCTACAAATAATATATTTCCTCTGCCCTATTTATGTGGAAGCAAGCAGTTTTGTAAATCAAATGACTAAGATATAATAATTTTACTATATTTCTTGAGGAACCATATAACTTTTAATAAATCCTTTCTGACTCACCAATTCTATATTCTTGTATAAGAGATTAATACAAGACATTACAAGGCAAATCACACCAGTACCGAATCCATAATAACAATAAAATGGATGGGATGTATTTGGATATATCAACTCACTCAACACCTGGAATTTTACTTGGCT